TTATTGAGTGTTTCCACTTATCGTGATCACACTGTATATCATATTAAATTTAACAAAATTGAAGCCTTCTTCTTGTTCTCTGCTTATTTGAATGTAAATATCATCGTTTTGTTTTTTTCCTGTTTTGTCGTACCATTGTGTTAATCTGCACAAACAATTTCTATAATTTTTTTTATCCCATTTCAATTTCTTTGGATATTTTAGCTTTTTGCTTCCTCAATATTGGAATTTATTAAAGTTATTGAAGGGTGACCCAAATTTTTGACCCCATAGTAATCAAATACTTTAACATTTTTTAATATTATTGAATCGTTGATAGTCCCTTCAAAATTGTCAATTTGTGGAGTATCTTATAATATAAGTGATATCTAAAAGTAATAAGATCTTTTAGATATAAAAATTCTATCAGATTGAATTTTTTTACCTTGGATTTTGTGTCGTCAATTATCACAATTTCTTTTCTTTTAAATATTGCTCCTTTGGCAGTTGTTGAAGTTTGCACTTTCCCATATTTTTTATGATTCCAATTACATCTAAAATTTTATTTTATTCATTGTTTTTAGTACCTCAATATTATTTATGCGTCGGATTACCTATTATTTGATCTTTTTTGACATCAACAAAATTTTTTAATTTAATGAATTCGAATTCCATTTTTTTAATTGTACTGATATCTTTTTCTATTTGTTTTATTTCAGTTTACTGATCTTTTTATGTTTAATTACAGTTTACTGATCTTTTTATGTTTAATTACAGTTTACTGATCTTTTTATGATTAATTACAGTTTACTGATATTTTTATGTTTTATTTCATTTTGTGTTCTTTTTATGTTTTATTTTATTTTGTGTTCTATTTCTGATTAAGCGAGCGTTTCTGATAAAGTTTACTGTTTGTGATGATTTTCTGATTAAAATCAATCTTGTGATCTTTTACTGATATTTTTAGGAAAAGTGTCCTCAAGTGCCCCCTATACTACTTATATGTCTATATTACCTTTTTTGACAACTTACGTTTTATGCCACTTATAATTATTGTATTTATACGTTTATTTTAAATATTATTATCGCTTATATATTTTTACCTCTGCTATTTTATGGATTGGTATTATAATCATTTTAATCACACCTACTGTATAGTGTATAGCAGAGCCTAACTCACATTTTCACTTTTTTTTTTTTATTTCATTGTCATTTACTTGTTATAGTGGATGTACAGAGCACGATTTTTTATTTATTTTTTGGTGTGGGAGGGAGCGGGGCGACGGGATCCCCTACTATTTTATTTACTTAAACGGGGGGACGGTACAAAGTAATGTCTAAAATAATTTTTAATAAAATATTATGGATTTTTAATTGATGTCAGTTATATAACTATTTTACTATTTTACTTTTTTATTTTGAAATTGTCATTCCAACAATGAAATTATCAAGGTTTTTTTTTCAGTGTATAGCATCAGCATCACCATTGGTTATAAATACTAGTATTTATAATCAACGGTATCACGTCTTATAATATACCTATAGCATTTTTTTTTATATTTGTATATTATTTATTATTATTTTATTTTCATTCATAATTCTAAATTATTTAAAAATATATTTACTTACCTTACACAAAACACACTTTAGATATAAGTAATATTATGAATTATGAAAAAATAATAATTTAAAACACGCAAAACAACGATTTTACTGTAGGAACCAGCTGAGTTTTTACTTAAATCCACGATTCACGATATAGTAGAATTGATTATGGAAATAGAAATTAAATGATTACGATGTTATCATTGTCTATATCAGGGATGGCCAACCCGCGGCCCGCGGGCCTCATGCTGCCCGCCGTGGAAAGTTTTACGGCCCGCGACATTTATCAAATATGTATTTACAAAAAAAATTTATATAAACAGTAATAATTCTAATCTAATCTGATAAAAGTATATATACGAGTAGACACCAGCTTATAGCAAATCGAATTGTTGAAACGTGGCTAATAACAGTCATAATCTGTCCGTTCGCTGTGACTGTTGAAGTGCGTTCAGTGTGGAAAATTATTTAAGTACGTACTAATTTTTATTATTGTATTTTTTTTTTTTTAATATGAGTGTTGCAAAGAAAAGAAAATTAGTAGACGAAAATAGAAAGTACAGTGAGGAGTGGGAAGAAAAGTACTTTTTTATAATTCATAACAMAAAATTAATGTGTTTGATTTGCCGAGAAACAGTAGCTGTATTTAAAGAATATAACGTTAAAAGGCATTATGAAACAAAACATAATGATTATTTGAAATTTAGTAGTGAAGTGAAACAATCGAAGCTCAGGGAATTTACGTTACAATTAAAAACTCAACAAAAAATGTTTAGTTCAGCATTACAGCAACCATCTAATATCGTTAAAGCAAGTTATTCTGTCTCATTTTTGATTGCAAAAAAAATGAAAAAATTTTCAGATGGTGAATTTGTGAAAGAATGTTTGGAAGCTGTAGCAAAGGATATTTTACCTGATAAAAATGAACTTTTTTCGAATATAAGTTTATCCCGGCAAACAGTATGTCGTCGAATTAATGACATTTCAAACGAAATTATTTTAAAACCACGCGATCGAATTCAAGATTTTAAATATTTTTCTATTGCATTTGACGAAAGTACAGATATATCAGATACAGCTCAACTTGTAATATTCGTTCGTGGAGTAAATGAATCATTTCAAATAACTGAAGAAATGTTAAAATTGATAAGTTTGAAAGGAACTACAAAAGGTGAAGATATTTTTCACGCTGTTGAAAACAGTTTATGCGAAAACAATTTGGATTTGAAAATTATTTCTGGAATATCAACTGATGGTGCACCTGCTATGGTTGGCAAAGAAAAATGAGCTATAAAACTACTGATCGATAAAATAGAATCTACCAGAAAAACTAATAATTTCTGGAAAAGAGATAATTTATTTATAATCCATTGTTTGATTCATCAACAAAATTTATGTTCTCAAGTATTATCGATGGACCATGTCATGCAAGTAGTTATAAAAACAGTGAATTACATTCGATCACATGCGCTTCCCCACCGACAATTTAAGGAATTCCTGAAAGAATTGGATTCAGAATATGGTGACGTAGTATATTTCAGTCATGTCAGATGGTTAAGTCGTGGAAAATGTTTAAAGCGATTTTATGAGTTACGTCATGAAATTGACTTGTTTATGAATGATAAACAAAAACCAGTATTAGAATTAAGTAATGATGAATGGTTATTAGATTTATGCTTTTTAGTGGATATTGTCGAAAAACTGAACCAATTAAATATATCATTACAGGGAAAAGATAATTTAATAATTGACTCATTTAATCACATCAATGCATTACAGTAGAAATTATTGTTATTTGAATTTCAATTAAAAAATAATAACGTTCAACACTTTCCATTGCTAAACGAATTGAAAAATTCCAAACATATCAATAGCATTAAATATGCACAAGAAATAAGGAAACTTATAGCTGCTTTTGAAAGTCGTTTCACTAATTTAGACAAATACAAGACAATATTTGAAATATATTCATCTCCTTTTCATACTGATGTCAATTCGGCCCCAGAATATCTTCAGATGGAACTCATTGACTTACAATGCAATAATGAATTAAAAMACATTTTTGAAACATCAAAATCAAAAATAGATTTTTATAATATTAATATCAGAAAAGAACATTTTCCCAATTTGAGAAATCTGGCACAAAAAGTTGTGAGTGCTTTTGGATCGACTTACACTTGTGAATCGTTTTTTTCGAAAATGAAATTCGCCAAAGATAAATCACGCACAAACCTAACAGATGAAAACCGACAACATCAATTACGGTGTGCAAATACAAGCATTTCTATTGATTTGAAAAAGCTTAGTGAACGAACGTTGGATTTATTTGTAACTCGCCCTTTAACTTTCCATCTAAATACCCAATATTGGAGTTCAATGTAATTAAATATTTAATAAATAAAATGTTACCCGTTTGAATTGGCAACCAGTGATGATATTTTCATTGTATCATCATCTTTATTATTAATCTTTTTATTTTTTTGTTTTTCGATATCGTTAATATCATGACTTCTTTTCATTTTAAATATTTTTATTGTATTTGTATTTTTTATTATGCTCGTAGTGACTTATAAACAAACGGTTTCCATAGATTAAACAAAAATTTAAATAAATAAATAAATTATATCCAAAAAAATAATTTAATAATTAATAAAATAAAATCTAAGTACCATCTCACACAAATGGTTAAACGAAAAAAAAATATCGGAAGACAATCACAAATTGCAAAAAAAACATAAAAAAAAACAAAAATTCAATAACAATAAAGAATGAGGACATTATGCCAGAAGATGTTGACAATGCGCAAGAAGATAATACACAAATGAAAATAATAAGTAAACGCACAAAAGAAAGAATGAAGAAAGCTAAAAAAAATTTGGAAAATGAAGCATTTTATTATGATCCGACTATTTCTTACGATGATGATCCTCGCGTGTCAATTAGTCTCTTTAATGTTGAATGTAAATACTGTCAAGCATTGAAGTTTAAAGATGAGCCTAATGGCATATGTTGTGGGAATGGTAAAATAAACTCCCAATTTTGAATAATCCAATTGAACCATTGCTTTCATATTTGTCTGGAACTTCCAATGAATCAAAACACTTCTTAAATAATATTAGAAAATATAATGCAAGTTTCAACATGATTTCATTTGGTGCAAATAGAAAAAAAGAATCAGGGTATCAAACAAGTTTTAAAATTCAAGGGAAAGTTTATCATAGAATAGGGTCGCTTCTACCTTGTGATGATAAATCATCTTATTTACAAATATATTTCATTGGAGACGATGAAATACAATCAAATCAAAGATGCGATCTTATTTCAAATATCAATGCTAATATTATTGAATCAATCCAAATTTTTTTACATGAACACAATGAATTGATAAAATCTTCATATCTGCATTAGAAAACATGCCAACAAATGAATGTAAAATAGTTTTAAAAGCTGACAAAATACCTACAGGAGAACATGAACGATGCTTCAATTTACCAACAATAAACGAAGTAGCAGCAGTTATAAATGGCAATGAATTCAAAAAACGTGATATTATATTACAGAAACTGAGTAATGAATATATGAGAGTTCAAGATTACCATAAATCTTATGATGCTTTACAATATCCGTTAATGTTTTGGCGGGGTGAAGACGGTTATCACATTGAATTGAAACAAATAAATCCAGCAAGTGGTTTAAACACAGATGAAAAAGTATCAGCAATGGATTTTCATGCATATAGAATAATGATAAGAAAAATCCCGGAAAATTATTTACTCCGTTATAATCAATTATTTAATCAATTCATCGTTGACATTTATGCAAAAATAGAAAATGAGCGTTTACGTTTTATACGATTTAATCAATCAAAACTCAAGGTTGATCAATATATTCATCTAAAAGACGCATTTGAAAATGATGGAGACCTTGAGGATATAGGACAAAAATACATTTTACCTGCAAGTTTTATAAGCAGTCCTAGACATATGCATGAGTATACACTATACACAAGACGCTCTTTGTATAGCGCAAACGAAAGGAAAACCTTGCTTATTTATGACATTTACATGTAACACTCAATGGCCTGAAATAACAGAAAACTCGTTACCCCATCAGCAAGCAAAAGATAGATATGATTTAGTGGCGAGAGTATTCAAATGTAAATTGAAAAAATTGATGGATTTAATAACAAAAAGCAATATATTTGGCGAAGTTGTAGCCTAGGTTTATTCCATAGAATGGCAGAAAAGGGGATTACCACACGCTCATATTATAATATGGTTGAAAAATAAAATACACCCAGACCAAAATGATAACATAATTTCAGCTGAATTACCAGATCCAGAAAAAGATCCTATATTATTTGACGTAGTAACAAAACACATGATACATGAACCTTGTGGAGTATTAAATGTCAATTCACCCTGTATGAAAAATGGGAAATGCAAATGTAATTATCCTCGAGCACTGATTAATGAAACAAGAACAAATTCTAAAGGATATTCATTGTACAGAAGAAGGAGTATAACGGACGGTGGTTTTAAAACTACTATAAAAATGAAAACGATGAATGGTAAATATAAACCAGTCAATGTAGATAACAGTTGGATTGTTCCTTACTCTCCACTTATTTCAAAAATAATGAAAGCACTTATCAATCTTGAATCATGTAGTTCAGTCGTTGCAATAAAATACATATTGAAATACATTCACAAAGGGAGTGATCAAGCAATGTTTACAATCGAAAATAAAAAAGATGAAATTGAAGACTATCAATCTGGAAGATACATAAATAGTAATGAAGCAATATAACGAATTTTAGGTTTCCCGATTCATGATCGATATCCATCTATAATTCATCTTAGCGTACACCTTGAAAATGCAAAACGTGTTTACTTATCAGATGAAAATATAGAAAAAAAGCTCAACAACCATCAGAAACCACATTGACCGCCTTTTTAAAATTATGTACAATAGATGATTTTGCCAAGACATTATTTTATTACGATGTTGCGAAATATTATACATGGGATAATTCGAGTAAAAAATGTAATACGAGAAAGCAAGGAAGTCCAGTTAATGGATATCCTAATATCTATAAAACTGACACTATAGGTCGAATGTATACAATACATCCAAATAACCCAGAATGTTTTTATCTAMGAATATWATTACATAATGTAYGTGGTCCAACATCATTTAAAAACTTAAAAAGTGTTGATAGTATTGAATATGATACATACAGAGAAGCATGTCAAAAATTTGGATTACTTAAAGATTTATCATCTGGGATGATGCATTATCAGAAACAAATGACACAAAACGATCAAGTCAAATAAGATCGCTTTTTATAATCATTTTGACATCATGTGTTCCATCAAATCCACAACAATTATGGGACAAATTTAAAAAAAATATGAGTGAAGATATATTATATCGAAAACAAAAATTGAATATTTGTGAGGTTTTAGAGTATACAGATGAAATCTGCAATGAAACTCTCATAATCATAGAAGATGGATGTTTGTTAGTATCTGAAAAAAATTTAAAAGAATGGGGACTGACTTCACCGAATAGAACACAAAATACATCACTCCCAACAGAAATCTTACGTGAAATATCATACAACGTCACGGATTTAAACACATATATCAATAAAAATAAATTGCAGCTAATCGATGAACAAAAAGAGGCATTTGAAGAAATTATGGATATTATTAAAAGAGACGAAGGAAGCTTATTTTTTTTAGATGCATTTTTATTAAATTTAATATTAGCGGAAATACGAAAGAAAGGAGAGATTGCTTTACCAGTAGCTTCTTCTGGACTAGCAGCAACTTTATTACATKGTGGACATACTGCCCATTCAGCACTGAAATTACCTCTGAATTTCAATTTAACAGAGGAGCCTTATTGTAACATTATAGATAATTCTGCTACTTGTGAATTACTTAAAAGAACAAAAGTTATAATTTGGGATGAATGTATAATGGCACATAAAAAAGGTCCAGAGGCATTGCATAACATTTTACAGAATTTGAATAACAATGAATATATAATGGGAAAAGTAGTGGTTATTTTAGCTGGTGACTTCCGACAAACATTACCGGTAATAACACATGGAACACCTGCTGACCAAATTGATGCATGTTTGAAAAAATCTTATCTTTGGAAACATACAAAGATAATAATGTTAAAAAAAAACATGAGGGTATTTTTAACAGGTGATCCTACACTATCAACTTTTTCAGAACAATTACTACTTCTTGGTAATGAGAAATGAAAGGAAGATTCAGATGGTACTGTGGAATATCCATCAAATTTTCGTAATATAGTAAAATCAATTGAATCTTTGAAAACTCATGTATTTCCTGATATGCAAAAGAATTATATCAATCATGAATGGATATGTGAAAGAGCCATACTTGCACCGACAAATAAAAAAGTAGATGATATTAATAAAGATATATTAAACTCTCTCCCAGGAGAAAGTAAAACATATAAATCAATCGATACCGTATGCAATCCCGAAGATTCAATCCACTATCCAATGGAGTTTTTAAATTCTTTGACAATACCAGGTTTACCTCCTCATATATTAACTTTAAAAATTGGAACACCTATCATGATTTTAAGAAATATTAATCCACCCAAATTATGCAATGGAACCCGTTTAAGTGTAAAATCTTTGAAAAATAATGTAATAGAAGCTACAATATTAACCGGATGTGGAAAAGGAGAAGTCGTATAATATATACCAAGAATACCTATTAAACCCAGTTCGTGCCGTTTGGATTTGAGCGATTACAGTTCCCGGTAAAACTTGCATTCACCTTCACTATAAATAAATCTCAAGGTCAATCATTGAAATGTACAGGACTTATACTTGAGCCTATGTGCTTCTCTCATGGTAAATTATATGTAGCATGTTCAAGAGGTGGTGACCCGAAAAATCTCTACATTTATTGTCCGAATGGAAAAACAAAGAATATCGTATATCCTCAAGCATTAAAATGATGCTATACAATATTACACTATTTAATTCAAGCTTTTTCTGACCTCATATACCCGTTTAAAAATAAAATAAAATAAAATCAAAACAACCAAACATTTTGTTTAATCTTATTAACAAACAGTTTCCATAGAAACATAATCATATAATAATAACATATAATCTATATATATATATGTTACGCCGAATTTATGAAATTGCCGATTACATGAAATCGGGAGAAAAATTGCCGATTTCATGAAATCTGCATCGCTGTTACTGACAACGTGAAATCGGCAACTTTAAATGCATAATACTGCCGGTTGCGTGAAATCGGCAAGACCATTCTTAAAATAATGATAACACATAATTCAATATAAATTAATGTGTTATA